GCATTACCGCAAAAATGGAAGAGGAAAGTGGAAGGGGGAAAAAGTAAGGAACTTGTCTGTCAGCTCTGCATTAAAGAACATAATTGGTTAAAGAAAATTGTGATAAATAAAAAAGTATACCAGTTTCATTTAAGGACCAAAGGATTGACAGCCGTCCCATATAGATTGCAAAATAGTTGGGAAGAGATTTTTTACGTACCGATCCCATGGCATAGTGTTTATGAACTGATACGCAAAACCACACCGGATTCAAAACTTAGAATCTTTCAATTTAAATTATAATATAAAATTATTGCTACCAATAGAATGTTATTTATATGGGGGATACAATCTTCCCAGCTCTGCAGATTTTGCTGCGAAGAGACAGAATCATTAGATCATTTGTTTTGGTACTGTCCATTTGTAGCTTGTTTTTGGACACAGGTCCAGGAATGGCTAAAGGATTGCAATATTTACCTGGAGCTAACCTTGCAGATAGCATTACTGGGTGATCTGAAAAGTCATAGTCAATCGATCAATAATATAATAATACTTTTAGCAAAAATGTTTATTTTCAATTTACAATCTGTAGAAACAATGAGAATAGAAAGGTCCAGAACTTTTGTAAAACATCACAGTACAGTTGAAAAATATATGGCAAATAGAAATCCTATATGGATGGTGTTAAGAGATAGAAGGGTGGTGTTGAATAGAGTTGAAGGATGGGACTAATAACAACTAACAACAACTAATAACAAGATAACTAATAATGTAAGCATACTGTGTCCATAATAAGTACAGTGAGGGAAAAAAGTATTTGATCCCCTGCTGATTTTGTACGTTTGCCCACTGACAAAGACATGATCAGTCTATAATTTTAATGGTAGGTTTATTTGAACAGACAGAATAACAACAACAAAATCCAGAAAAACGCATGTAAAAAATGTTACAAATTGATTTGCATTTTAATGAGGGAAATAAGTATTTGACCCCTCTGCAAAACATGACTTAGTACTTGGTGGCAAAACCCTTGTTGGCAATCACAGAGGTCAGAAGTTTCTTGTAGTTGGCCACCAGGTTTGCACACATCTCAGGAGGGATTTTGTTCCACTCCTCTTTGCAGATCTTCTCCAAGTCATTAAGGTTTTGAGGCTGACGTTTGGCAACTCGAACCTTCAGCTTCCTCCACAGATTTTCTATGGGATTAAGGTCTGGAGACTGGCTAGGCCACTCCAGGACCTTAATGTGCTTTTTCTTGAGCCACTCCTTTGTTGCCTTGGCCGTGTGTTTTGGGTCATTGTCATGCTGGAATACCCATCCACGACCCATTTTCAATGCCCTGGCTGTGGGAAGGAGGTTCTCACCCAAGATTTGACGGTACATGGCCCCTTCCATCGTCCCTTTGATGCGGTGAAGTTGTCCTGTCACCTTAGCAGAAAAACACCCCCAAAGCATAATGTTTCCACCTCCATGTTTGACGGTGGGGATGGTGTTCTTGGGGTCATAGGCAGCATTCCTCCTCCTCCAAACACGGCGAGTTGAGTTGATGCCAAAGAGCTCGATTTTGGTCTTATCTGACCACAACACTTTCACCCAGTTCTCCTCTGAATCATTCAGATGTTCATTGGCAAACTTCAGACGGCCCTGTATATGTGTTTTCTTGAGCAGGGGGACCTTGCGGGCGCTGCAGGATTTCAGTCCTTCACGGCGTAGTGTGTTACCAATTGTTTTCTTGGTGACTATGGTCCCAGCTACCTTGAGATCATTGACAAGATCCTCCCGTGTAGTTATAAAAATAATAATAATAATAATATGCCATTTAGCAGACGCTTTTATCCAAAGTGACTTACAGTCATGTGCGCATACATTTGTACGTATGGGTGGTCCTGGGGATCAAACCCACTACCCTGGCGTTACAAGCGCCATGCTCTACCAATTGAGCTACAGAGTTCTGGGCTGATTCCTCACCATTCTCATGATCATTGCAACTCCACGAGGTGAGATCTTGCATGGAGCCCCAGGCCGAGGGAGATTGCAGTTCTTTTGTGTTTCTTCCATTTGCGAACAATCGCACCAACTGTTGTCACCTTCTCACCAAGCTGCTTGGCGATGGTCTTGTAGCCCATTCCAGCCTTGTGTAGGTCTACAATCTTGTCCCTGACATCCTTGGAGAGCTCGTTGGTCTTGGCCATGGTGGAGAGTTTGGAATCTGATTGATTGCTTCTGTGGACATGTGTCTTTTATACAGGTAACAAGCTGAGATTAGGAGCACTCCCTTTAAGAGTGTGCTCCTAATCTCAGCTCGTTACCTGTATAAAAGACACCTGGGAGCCAGAAATCTTTCTGATTGAGAGGGGGTCAAATACTTATTTCCCTCATTAAAATGCAAATCAATGTATAACATTTTTGACATGCATTTTTCTGGATTTTTTGGTTGTTATTCTGTCTCTCACTGTTCAAATAAACCTACCATTAAAATTATAGACTGATCATGTATTTGTCAGTGGGCAAACGTACAAAATCAGCAGGGGATCAAATACTTTTTTCCCTCACTGTATATATACAGTGGGGAGAACAAGTATTTGATACACTGCCGATTTTGCAGGGTTTCCTACTTACAAAGCATGTAGAGGTCTGTAATTTTTATCATAGGTACACTTCAACTGTGAGAGACGGAATCTAAAACAAAAATCCAGAAAATCACATTGTATGATTTTTAAGTAATTAATTTGCATTTTATTGCATGACATAAGTATTTGATACATCAGAAAAGCAGAACTTAATATTTGGTACAGAAACATTTGTTTGCAATTACAGAGATCATACGTTTCCTGTAGGTCTTGACCAGGTTTGCACACACTGCAGCAGGGATTTTGGCCCACTCCTCCATACAGACGTTCTCCAGATCCTTCAGGTTTCGGGGCTGTCGCTGGGCAATACGGACTTTCAGCTCCCTCCAAAGATTTTCTATTGGGTTCAGGTCTGGAGACTGGCTAGGCCACTCCAGGACCTTGAGATGCTTCTTACGGAGCAACTCCTTAGTTGCCCTGGCTGTGTGTTTCGGGTCGTTGTCATGCTGGAAGACCCAGCCACGACCCATCTTCAATGCTCTTACTGAGGGAAGGAGGTTGTTGGCCAAGATCTCGCGATACATAGCCCCTTCCATCCTCCCCTCAATACGGTGCAGTCGTCCTGTCCCCTTTGCAGAAAAGCATCCACAAAGAATGATGTTTCCATCTCCATGCTTCACGGTTGGGATGGTGTTCTTGGGGTTGTACTTGACCTTCTTCTTCCTCCAAACACGGCGAGTGGAGTTTAGACCAAAAAGCTATATTTTTGTCTCATCAGACAACATGACCTTCTCCCATTCCTCCTCTGGATCATCCAGATGGTCATTGGCAAACTTCAGACGGACCTGGACATGCTCAGGCTTGAGCAGGGGGACCTTGCGTGCGCTGCAGGATTTTAATCCATGACGGCGTAGTGTGTTACTAATGGTTTTCTTTGAGACTGTGGTCCCAGCTCTCTTCAGGTCATTGACCAGGTCCTGCCGTGTAGTTCTGGGCTGATCCCTCACCTTCCTCATGATCATTGATGCCCCACGAGGTGAGATCTTGCATGGAGCCCCAGACTGAGGGTGATTGACCGTCATCTTGAACTTCTTCCATTTTCTAATAATTGCGCCAACAGTTGTTGCCTTCTCACCAAGCTGCTTGCCTATTGTCCTGTAGCCCATTCCAGCCTTGTGCAGGTCTACAATTTTATCCCTGATGTCCTTACACAGCTCTCTGGTCTTGGCCATTGTGGAGAGGTTGGAGTCTGTTTGGTTGAGTGTGTGGACAGGTGTCTTTTATACAGGTAACGAGTTCAAACAGGTGCAGTTAATACAGGTAATGAGTGGAGAACAGGAGGGCTTCTTAAAGAAAAACTAACAGGTCTGTGAAAGACAGAATTCTTACTGGTTGTTAGGTGATCAAATACTTATGTCATGCAATAAAATGCAAATGAATTACTTTAGAATCATACAATGTGATTTTCTGGATTTTTGTTTTAGATTCCGTCTCTCACAGTTGAAGTGTACCTATGATAAGAATTACAGACCTCTACATGCTTTGTAAGTAGGAAAACCTGCAAAATCGGCAGTGTATCAAATACTTGTTCTCCCCACTGTATAAACATGGGGGATTGGAAGTGATGCAGACCATTACAGTGATGGAAGTTACAATCTATCTGCAATATGAAGCTGATCTACCCCACAAAAAAATAAAATAATGTATTGACTTTGGGGGGGTGAATAGTTTTGCACGCTCAAGTTTTCTGTTTTTTTGTCTTATTTCTTGTTTGTTTCACAAAATTTTTTATTTTGCATCTTCAAAGTGGTAGGCATGTTGTGTAAATCAAATGATACAAACCCCCCAAAAATCAATTTTAATTCCAGGTTGTAAGGCAACAAAATAGGAAAAATGCTAAGGGGGGTGAATACTTTCGCAAGCCACTGCATAGGAGAGGTAGTGTTTGGTGTAGGGCGGTATTGGAGAGGTAGAGTGTTTGGTGTAGGGAGGTTGAAGATAGATGGAGGGTCAGGGTTTGGTCAATGAAGGTATATGATGTCAACAGGATATATTAAAAGGAGGTCAATGTTATGTTTGTTTTTGGTGAATGGTTTGGTTCCTCATTGTGTGGTGGTGATGTCATTGGTCAGAGTGGTGTGAGGAGGTTAGGCGATGTTTAGACTGCTGGGTGTGGTTAGTGTGTGTGTGAGCGTGTATACCAGTTTGTGCTGAGTGGGGCTGTTTGCTGAATCCTCTTGGCTCCCTCTCCGTGTGCCCGTACACACCACGCACTGGCAGCCAGGCGGACGGGCAGGGTAGAGTGTGCCAACACAGCTGCGTATTGAGAGGCAGCGTTATGGACACAATGTGAGCGACAGACTTGCTGTATCAACAGCTCCCCCTTTTCTGCTGTTGTGGCCAGAAATAAACCATAAATACCCCCCCTGCCCCTGCCCTCCAACGGCTCAACCCCAAACACCAAGTGGCACCTAGAGAGAGAGGCTATCAATACACAGCAGGCATATCCAGGTAAAACCAGCTTGGTTCTGAACTTTGAAACCTATTTTTATATGAGAAGTAAAAGAGACCCCACAGTCATGGTTGTTGACGGATGGAGAAGGAGAGGTTGGATGGGGAGTAGGAACAATAGTATAGTATGATAGAGTGAGTTGAGTTGTTTGTAAAGCTGCATATGATAGGGATTCATAGATTTTTTGAGTTGGTAAAGATATCATTTGGTATGCTGAAATGTTTGTATTGAAAGATATGATTGAGCAAGTGAGGAGTTTGCAGAATAGAGTATTATGGAATGTGTGTTGTTTGTAGTGTTAGGTTTGATTGAGTCAGGGGGTTGCAGAACTGGTTATGACACAGACTGAGGCTTGCACGGTTGGACACGATAGACAGGGAAAGATGGAATCACTGATTTGAAAGGTTGCGCATTAGGCTATGAGAATAACATGGATCTTCTTAGGGGATTACTCTGGGCCCTAGTTATAGCCTACGGTCAGGAAAAACTCCTGGCCCCAGGACAAAGTGACCTCCTGGAGATAGAAAGGGTAGAATACAGCCCCTCAGGTCCTTATTCTCAGCTCAGGTTATGTCTGCACCAATGTGCTCTTCTGCTCTCTGAAGTGGACGCAAATCTTGACTGATTCAAAGGAGTAAAAGGATCCATTACTATTGAGAGGACTGATGGTCATCATTGTGAAATGAATGTCATCATGGTGTCTGTGTTTCTCTTCTCTCTGTCTCTCTCCTGATTGTGCTCCTGAAAGAAGAGTAACCAGTGGACCAGGAGGATGTCGGAGCAGCAGAGCGCCCCTGAGCAGCTGGCTGCAGGGAAAAGCCAGGGTGGAGCAGGAGCCACTTACAAGGTACTGTATCCTCCCTCTCCCCATCTATCATCTCCTCTGTGTATTTCTCCCTATACTCTTGTGATCGTTCTCTTCATTTCTTTTTCTCTCCTTTGCCCACTTCTCTATTTTCCCACTTCTCTATAAACCCTCTTCCTTAGTCCCCCATATATTTCCTCTATTTATACTGTAAGCTTGACTTTCTCAATATGACTCTTTCCTCCTCTTTCCCCTCTCTGTCTCTCCTCCTCTCTGATCCAGGTGGTGCTGTTTGAGTTCGAGAATTTCCAGGGCCACAAGGCTGAGTTTTCTACCGAGTGTAAAGATGTTTCAGAGAAGGGCCTGGAGAAGGTGGGCTCTGTGCTGGTTGAGTCTGGCCCGTGAGTACTGGTGCATTGGTGTCATTCACAGACAGTCATATTCTTACACATACAGAATATGTATTTTCAGGTTCAGGTTAAGTGTTAACTCTTTTTAAATTATACTGTATATCTGTTACCACATATTGCCAAATACAACGTCATACATGCTGAGGAGAGATATTCTAACTCAGCCTCGTCCTTGTCCTCTCTCCTGTCAGATGGGTGGGGTATGACCGCCAGGGGTTTGCAGGTGAGCAGTTTGTCCTGGAGAAAGGCGAGTATCCACGCTGGGACACCTGGACCAACAGCCAGTACAGCTACTCCTTCTGGTCCATGCGGCCTCTCAAAGTGGTGGGTAGCACTCAAACAATGTCTACACATACCCCGTGTAGCTCAGTTGGTAGAGCATGGCGCTTGCAACGCCAAGGTTGTGGGTTTGATTCCCACGGGGTACCTGTATGAAAATGTATGCACTCACTACTGTAAGTCGCTCTGGATAAGAGCGTCTGCTAAATGACTAAAATGTAAACATGCTCAACATACTCACTGACCATGTTCACGCGTTTACCATCTCACCACTCTGCATTCTCTATCAACATTCTCTGAGCCACAATCTATCTGCAGTATTAAAGCTGATTTATCCCTTTAAAAAAGTAATAATATATAAAAAATGTAATACTAAAAAAACGAACATTCTCTGAGTATCTCAATACTCCCGTTTATCATTTTTGGCATCTTTAGCATCTCAGTACTCCTCTGTTTATCTCAACACTCTCAGATTATCTCAACACTCTTTAACCATTGCAGAACTCCATGTTCATCTCAACAGTCACTTATCATCTCAGCAGACTGCTCTCATTTGCTATCTGAATACTCACTGATTACCTCAAGACTCTCTCTATCTCAACAGTCAGCTCTCAATAAACATCTTAACACTAAGTGTATCTATCTGTTTGTGTGTGTGCATATCTCAATTTCTCCTCTTTAGGATAGTGCCGAACACAAGCTCCATCTGTTTGAGAGCCCAGGCTTCACTGGTAGAAAGATGGAGATTGTTGATGATGACGTTCCCAGTTTGTGGGGACATGGTTTCCAAGATCGCGTAGCAAGTGTCCAGGCCCTCAACGGAACGTAAGAGCTCCATTTTACCCTCTCTCAATTTCTTCCCGTTTCACCTGCTCTCTCTCTCTCTCTGTCCTTTGGGCTTTTTCTGTTTCTCTCATGTCTCACTTCATCTCTCGTCTTTCTCCTGGAAACCTTTAAAAGATGGTCAATTATGCTAACTGTAATATTCTGACGTCTATTTTGGTCCTGTCTCATGGACTCCTTCTCTGTTCCTTTGTTGCAGGTGGGTCGGCTACATGTACCCAGGCTACAGGGGGTGCCAGTATGTGTTTGAGTGTGGAGACTTCAAGCACTGGAATGACTGGGATGCCCCTGCACCTCAGATCCAGTCTGTCCGACGTGTGCGGGATATGCAGTGGCACAAGAAGGGGTGTTTCACCGTCCCTGCTCCTGCCCCTGCCCCAGCTCCTGCCCCTGCCCCAGAACCCGCACCCCCTGCACCCCCTGCCGCCTCCGGGGCCAGCTGAAGAGGATTCTGATCCACTTCCCCCCCAGAGCCTCTTCCATGAGCCTCTTCCTACTATCAGTGCCTGCCCTCTGCCTCACCCTAACCATGGCAAATGCTGCTCCTGCTTAGTGAGGAGAAGTGCTATATATGTTTCAGTGGCAAATAAAGTTTGTTTGACCAGAAATGTATTGTGTTTGTTGGTGCTGTTTCTATTGTTGGTATCCCTGGGTTTGTCAGGTGTAGGGTTGCAACATTCTGGTAACTTTTCAAAATGCCCAGTTTTTCAAGAAATCCTGGTTGGAGGATTCTGGATTTCCTGCTTCTTTCCTCTTTATTCTGAGAATCCTGGGAATTTGGGGGAAATTACTGGAATTTTGCTAACCTAGTCAGCTGTGGTTGGTTATGAGTCAACATGAACAATGTTATTGTAGATTATTGTTGCCAAATGGCACAGACAGTCATAGAACACATATTTAAACACAAATTCAACAGTAGGCTTTAGTTACAAATCTGACTCATAGATTAGTTTCGACATAGACGTCTTATTTCTCCATTAGTTTTCCACAGCTTTTTTGTTGAAGTCATAGAGGGACAGGCTATTTAAGTCTTACTGACAGTTAGGGGAATTCTGACATGAACAACACATGGTATGTTAGAAGAAAGCTTTGATCCACATCTGCAGCACATCTCTCTGGAGATGCTGATCTCATCTCCACATTTCCTCAGCTGGCCATCACTGTCTTGAAATTGTGTGGTGAAATGCTCTTGATAAAAAAAAAGATAAATAGCCTATGTCAACAATGAGAATGAATTTAATTGGATCACACCAAGAATGATGTCTCAAGTTACAAAATTGGAGGCTGTGAGTGTACTAAAGTAATCGACAAACATTGCACTACTTCATATACTATTATTATCATAATATCATATTCTAATGGTTAAGAACCACAAATCCACTATCAATCAAACAAGGGTCCTATCATGGTCAAACACTCATCAGGGAGAGATATATGCTGATAGAGCGTAGACCAGCCCCCCACTGCCTTAGGTGGGTCAGTCTTCTCATTCTCTGAACCTTGGTCCGGTGAAGCCTGCATCGATGTGCTCTTCTGCTCTCTGAGATTTGACTGATACAGTGAAGTAAAAATAAACATTTATTGTGAGAGAATTGAAGGTCATCAATCATGGTGAAATGTTTAGGCTCAATTAAATCTCATAATAGTTATGTCTGTATGAAATGTTCAATGATAGAGTAGGGCCAGGATTAATTCAGATCAGTATTAACCCGCGGTAACCAACAATCGCATAGCTTTTCTTTGCTTTTGTGTGTTGGATGTGTAACTGCGTTGGAGCTGTCAAATCGGTGGGTGGGTGCTCTTGTTGTCATTCACGAAACGACACCCTTCCCAGAACGAGAAAGTGTAGGCTTTATAGAAATATTGATACTCAAATAGAAAATCATTAAACAAAATAATAAGGATTTATATCAGACTTATCAAGGTATAGATTACATCACACATTCCAGTGCATAGCTGCAGGAAGTAGGGGTGCTGAGGGTGCTGCAGCATCCCCTGGTAAATGATAATAATAAAAATAATAATTGTAAAAACTATTCATTATTACTCCTGTATGCTCCTCATCATTTTTACTAATGCAATTTCTATGCTTTCAATGGCAATGTCTGCATAGGTATAACGCCGGGAGCCGTGGAGATTTGACAGCTCCAACGCAGTTATACCTCTGTCACCGGCTAAACAAAAGCAATGATAAACTATGCTATTTTTGGTTACCACGGGTTAACACTGATCTGATTGAATCCTGGCCTAGATTAGGCCTACACACTACAACAATAACATTGTGGGCCTGTGCTAACTGTATAGAGAAAGTGCCTTCGGAAACTATTCAGACCCCTTGACTTTTTCCACATTTTGTTACGTTACAGCCTTATTCTAAAATTGATTAAATAAAAAAATGGCCTCATCAATCTATACACAATACCCCATAATGACAAAGCGAAAAATGGGTTTTAGACATTTTTGCCAATTTATAAAAAATATTCAGATCCTTTGCTATGAGACTCGAAATTAAGCTCAGGTGCATCCTGTTACCATTGATCATCCTTGAGATGTTTCTACAACTTGATTTAAGTCTACCTGTGGTAAATTCAATTGATTGGACATGATTTGGAAAGGTACACACCTGTCTATATAAGGTCCCACAGTTGACAGTGCATGTCAAATCAAGCCATGAGGTCAAAGGAATTGTCCGTAGAGCTCCGAGACAGGATTGTGTCGAGGCACAGATCTGGGGAAGAGTACCAAAACATTTCTGCAGCATTGAAAGTCCCCAAGAACACAGTGGCCTCCATCATTCTTAAATGGAAGAAGTTTGGAACCACCAAGACTCTTCCTAGAGCTGGCCGCCCGGCCAAACTGAGCAATCGGGGGAGAAGGGCCTTGGTCAGGGAGGTGACCAAGAACCCGATAGTCACTCTGACAGAGCTCCAGAGTTCCTCTGTGGAGATGGGAGAACCTTCCAGAAGGACAACCATCTCTGCAGCACTCCACCAATCAGGCCTTTATGGTAGAGTGGCCAGACGGAAGCCACTCCTCAGTAAAAGGCACATGACAGCCCGCTTGGAGTTTGCCAAAAGGCACCTAAAGACTCTCAGACCATGAGAAACAAGATTCTCTGGTCTGATGAAACCAAGATTGAACTCTCTGGCCGGAATGCCAAGCCTCACGTCTGGAGGAAACCTGGCACCATCCCTACGGTGAAGCATGGTGGTGGCAACATCATGCTGTGGTGATGTTTTTAATCTGCAGGGACTGGGAGATTAGTCAGGATCGAGGGAAAAATGAACGAGCGATCCTTTATGAAAACCTGCTCCAGAGCGCTCAAGACCTCAGACTTGGGCGAAGGTTCACCTTCCAACAGGACAACGGCCCTAAGCACACAGCCAAGACAACGCAGGAGTGACTCAAGGACACTCAAGTCTCTGAATGTCCTTGAGTGGCCCAGCCAGAGCCCGGACTTGAACCCGATCGAACATCTCTGCAGAGACCTGAAAATAGCTGTGCAGTGACGCTCCCCAGCCAACCTGACAGAGCTTGAGAGAATCTGCCATAAAACCCACAGAAGAAGAAGAAGAAGAAGAAGAAGAAGAAGAAGAAGAAGAAGAAGAAGAAGAAGATGAAGAAGAAGAAGAAGAAGAAGAATTGGAATTCGACAGTAGGACTATCTAAAGGATATAGCAATAGCGAATTTGATCAAATGTTGGCAGAATGTTTCCTTTTGCAGTGATATTTGCTGTAACATATCTGACGTTTCTGAAAGACAAAAACAATAGCAAATTGTTGTGGACCTGTAAGCAGATCGTTTGAATTCAATAATGTTTTGCATTTACTTTTTCCCGAAACCTAAATAAAGGCTACTGCACTGCCTGCGAATTCTGAAACAATGTCTACTCAGGGGGAAAAAATAAACTAGGCTACAGTAGGCCAATTTACAGTGGTAGCCTCAATGCTAAATATAAACTGTCAACATGTTCAATTCTACTGTATGTTATAGACCGTGCTCCCTTTTGGAAATAGATTCTAATTTCTAATCATTTTAGAATGTAAAGATAAAACAAATAGATTTTTTGCTCTTCTCACTAACGGCAAATTATTGCATCTTGTTATTATATTTAGCTACCTGTTTTTTGTTGTTGTTATGAATAAGAGTGTCATCATATTTTCCTGCACAAGGCTAGTCTACTTTTGCCTTCTTATCATGCAAACGTTATTCCAGGTTGAAGATTGAAATGGGGCAATGATTTAGGTAGGTGGTCAATGCCATGGGATGTCCATCTTGGATTCAGCCCATACAGGCCAAGGGTTGTGTAAATAGCACTGATTGCCAATGTACTTTTTCCTATTTAATAAACATACTTTTCAACCATGTATCTCATTGTCCTCTATTCATTTCCCCATTCCATCACAACCACAAAAATCCTAACCCTACGCCACCTTTATCCAGTGCAATGCATTTGATTCTATTCACAGCACTGCACATGTTCTTCTATCTGTGCACTAGGCCAACCTCTGATTCCTCCAACCACGGAACTACCCCTGCTCCATCTTACTATTGTGCCACGTTCATTACCTCTAACTCCAACCATCTATAATTACTCGATCCAACTATATTTATTTCGACCAATTTACAGAATTATCTACATTCAACAAGTGAAATGTACTCCAGTGACTGCATCCAACGAGTGAAACACTATGCCCTCTTATTGACAGCTCACATGTGTGTGCAACTCTGCACTTCTCCTGCCAACAGCAGAAAGTTAACTTGGCATGACAAAATTTTTGTCAGCTTAGTGCAGATGACTTCTGGATGTGTAAGCTTCCATATGTGGCAATGATAGGAAAACTGTTATATTATACCTTGCATGCACTTACAGTAAATGCTCTCCAATAGAAAGCATTGCCAATAACGACCCAAATGAATACTATGTTAACCTATGTAAGAGTAAACGGAAATATACTAGATTTTGTGAGTTAAATCAGTCTCTTTCTATCAATTTGGCACTCTCCCTTCTCTCTATCATCCTCTCTCTCTATCCCACTCTGGTGGTCCAGGCATACAGGCAGCTCTCATTGTAAGTGTGGGACTCTTGGCACAGGTTGTGCTGAATCATGTGGATATCGAACAATGACCGGCTGGATGAAATTGACAAGTAATGAAATAACTTTGAGGGGGAGTGAGAAGGGGGGCCAGGCAGAGCGGTGACCCCACAGTCCCGTCTGCTCAGCCTATTGCAGGCTGATCTGGAGGGTGGCTTGGACACAGAGGAGTGTTGGCAGAGTTTCCACCCCTGAGCGCGCCGTATATATTGAGCTCAGCATGCCATCGCAAACACACTGGCACAGACAGGTACTGGTAAGAGATTCACGACCGTCGCTCTCCACATTATTTTATCTAGTTTTTAAAAAACAAACATCACTTTGAAGTTAATTTATTTAACATGTTGGGGTAACACACTTCTTTGTCATTCACTATACATAAAATTATTTAACTTACAAACAAATAGATTAACATGAGGACTGTTGTCAATTTCACTTTTTTGCCCCGAATATTTTTTAGTAGAGAAAGGGGCAGGGACTTTTGTTTACATACATGAGAGAACCAGTTTTGTGCAGAATTTAACTGCAGATTTTCTGGCACTATTATTTCATTATTTTTGCCACTATCCTATCAAACTGCAAACTACCCATTGGAATATAAAAATGTTCAACTAGTCTACTGGACCCTAAAAATATATGTTATGCGCTCCATAATTTCTCCTTTATCTCTGTACAGTTTCATCATAATCCATCCTGTTCACTATGGCCACAGACCACCAGAACCCTGCATCCAAGCAGCAGCAGCCAGGCACCAGTGCTTTCAAGGTGAGGGGGAGAGAGGGAGAGGGGGAGAGGAAGGGCAGAGGAGGGCAGGGCAGAGGAGGGCAGGGCAGCGGAGGGCAGGGCAGGGCAGAGGAGGGCAGGGCAGAGGAGGGCAGGGCAGGGCAGAGGAGGGCAGGGCAGGGCAGAGGAGGGCAGGACAGAGGAGGGCAGGGCAGAGAAGGGCAGGACAGAGGAGGGCAGGGCAGGGCAGAGGAGGGCAGGGGAGGGCAGGGCAGAGAAGGGCAGGACAGAGGAGGGCAGGGCAGAGAAGGGCAGGGCAGAGGAGGGCAGGACAGAGGAAGGCAGGGCAGAGGAGGGCAGGGCAGAGGAGGGCAGGGGAGGGCAGGGCAGGACAGAGGAGGGCAGGGCAGAGAAGGGCAGGGCAGAGGAGGGCAGGGCAGAGGAGGGCAGGGCAGAGGAGGGCAGGACAGAGGAAGGCAGGGCAGAGAAGGGCAGGGCAGAGGAGGGCAGGGCAGAGGAGGGCAGGACAGAGGAGGGCAGGGCAGAGAAGGGCAGGGCAGAGGAGGGCAGGGCAGAGGAGGGCAGGACAGAGGAGGGCAGGGCAGAGGAGGGCAGGGCAGAGGAGGGCAGGACAGAGGAAGGCAGGGCAGAGAAGGGCAGGGCAGAGGAGGGCAGGGCAGAGGAGGGCAGGGCAGAGGAGGGCAGGACAGAGGAAGGCAGGGCAGAGAAGGGCAGGGCAGAGGAGGGCAGGGCAGAGGAGGGCAGGGCAGAGGAGGGCAGGACAGAGGAAGGCAGGGCAGAGAAGGGCAGGGCAGAGGAGGGCAGGGGAGGGCAGGGCAGAGGAGGGCAGAGGAGGGCAGGGCAGGGCAGGGCTGAGGAGGGCAGGTGAAAGGAATGGATAATGGTGGGGCAGGGTGGATCAAGGACAATGCGACACCGTGGGATTGTTCAAAGCAAAAGTTACACAGTATTCTACATAATTTCCCTGTATAACTTGAGAGGCCATCAGGACGAGCAAGGAGACCTACACATCCATGTTGTCTCTCCTTGTCTTCCACAGTTGATCATCTATGAACAGGAGAACTTCCAGGGGCGTTGCCATGAGCTGACTGGTCCCTGTAACGACCTCCAGGAAGCAGGCGTGGAGAAAGTGGGCTCCATACTGGTGCTGTGTGGACCGTGAGTGTGGCTCAGAGATAGTATGATAGAGAGAGGGAGAGGGAGAGGGAGAGGGAGTACGAGTGAGACAAAGGGTGAGAGTTAAACAAAAGAGAAAGATAGAGACAAAAACAATAGGAGTTAGATAGTGGTGTGTGTGGGGGGGCAGATAGGACAAAAGAAAATGGTTCTGTACAGGAAAACAAACACTTCCATAACACAAATATAGTCACTGCATTGTGCACAAGGCACAGTATGTTCATGCACCGTTCATCTTGTTTTTGTTATCCTTCACTTCCCCCCTCAACCACCTTGTGCCCTCCTTACCTGACTCGTCTGTGCTTCCTCAGATGGGTGGGATACGAGCAGGCTAACTGTAAAGGGGAACAGTATGTGTTTGAGAAGGGGGAGTATCCTCGCTGGGATTCCTGGACCAACAGCAGACGTAGCGACAACATCTTTGCATTCCGCCCCATTAAAGTGGTAACACAGCACACCTTCTCTACTACACACAAATCAGCCATTTTGTTCAGCCTTTTTGAAGATTCTCTGTGACTGTTTCTTATGGTGTGTTTTCTATTCTCCTCACAGGACAGCCAGGAGCACAAGATTGTCCTTTATGAAAACCCCAGTTTCGCGGGGAAGAAGATCGAGATCATAGATGATGATGTCCCCAGCTTCCACTCACACGGATACCAAGAGAAGGTGTCCTCTGTCAGAGTTCAGAGTGGCACGTGAGTCTGTCCGCCAACAGCAGAGTTCTGTTACAGCAATATCTGCCCAAACATTGCCATATCATATTGCCATTTTCTCTTAATCACATGTATTGATCTTATCTCCATGGCTTTCTTCTCTAAATACTTTTCTCATTTTCTCTCTCCCATTCCATGACTCTCACACCTCTGCTGGTTGTGTACCAGTTGGGTGGGGTACCAGTATCCTGGCTACAGAGGCTATCAGTACCTGTTTGAGAAGGGGGAATACAAGGACTGTGCTGAGTTTGGTGCCCAGTTCCCTCAGATCCAGTCCGTCAGGCGCATCCGAGACCTGCAGTGGCACCAGAGGGGAGCTTTTCACCCTGCTGCTGGCGCTAACTAAGCTTATATGACTCTTTCCTGCCCCAAGCCCTAACCCCTGCAATCCTGCTCATTCCCACACCCCTCTCTCCAACACCTACTCAAAATTGCATTTTGATGCCTATTGTCATTGTTTCAGTAGCACAATCCTTTAAAGCAAAATAATAAATCCTTGTTGCTTATCTTTCAAGTGGTCATGTGACTCAACTGTGTTTTCACTTCTACACATTTCCTGCTGTATTGTTTATCTGAACAAACAGTTAACCTTTCAATTACTGAGCCACAACAGCAACTAATGCGTTTCAGACCAAAATATGTAGATGGAAGAGTGATTGGATGATGAGTAATTTTAATGGTATCAAATATAAAACTGAATATGTGACTTGGTCCAATTTCATAGCAGCCCTGTAATAGCCTACAGATGACAGTATCAGAACCTCATCATTATATGAAGCAAAATGCTACAAAGTAATCCAGTACTGGAGGAAATACTGTATTATTACATTTTAATACAAAATAATCTCCAGTTATGTAGGGCAGCTTTCTAACTTGCTGTGATTGGTTACCCGCGCAGAATGGACACTCACTTAATTTACTGTAATTAATAACAACACCGGAAAAGAAAGAAGAACATGCGGGTCGGTCGTTTTTCTGTGTGTGGCCACTACTCACGCTCTCAAAATGTTGGCGCCCTAAGAAGACATGTTTCCGAGGAGAGCAGGACGATTATGAGATGGAGTTACGTCGGGATGCCACCGGGCCGCAAGCAAAGTCAGGAGAAGAGGAATATTGGGACAGGGACACAGAAAGGTGGATTTCTGAGGAGGAATGGAGGGAGAAAAATAGGAAGAAGAGGTTGAAGATAATGAGGAAAGCAGAGGTTGCATTTGAATTTGAGGAAGATGGCGATACAAATGGAGAAGATTGGTGTCAGGTGCGAACAGAGTGAGCCAGACCGAGTTCTGGAGGTGAAATGGAAGTGAATGAGGGCGGCGAGTTAAGTGAGGTGGAAAGTGTGGTGAAGAGCTCAGGACCCAAGCCTGGCATCAATGGACATGATAAAGAAGAATCTGGTCCAGTAGGAGTGACATTTTTGGAGAAAGTGGATCCTTGCCTTTTGGCAAATTTGTTAATGGTTTCAGGGTGGGTGGGAAAGGAGGTGGGTGCAGTTGAATCAGTGAAGGTAACCTGTAGTGGACTTGTGATTTTTGTTTGTGTTTCTTCTGAACAGAGGGAGCGGGTGCTCAGTGTCACGCAGCTTGGGTCAAGATCTGTTTCTTGCTTTGCTATTCGGAACAGGGCACCATTGAAAGGAGTGATTTCTGGGGTAATGTAGAGGCGGAGCAATTGAAGTTGAAGATTCCTGGTGTTCCTGATGCCAACCGTTTGGTGCTTCGCAAACCCGGTGGTGAGCGTGGTGAAACAGAGGAGTCACTGTCAGTCCTTTTGAGTTTTGAGTCAGAGTTTTTACCCGACAAAGTCATGTTACCATATATCAGTTAGTTTTTGTGCCGAATCCACTGCGCTGTTTCAGGTGCAATGTTTATGGTCATGTCGCAGCAGTTTGTAGGAGGGAAATTTCAAGATGTGGGAAGTGTGCAGGAGGGCATGGGATAGATGATTGTGTCGTTTCGGTGGATAAAGTTGTGTGTGTCAACTGTAGGGGTGCCCATGTTGCTGGGGATCGGAAGTATCCGGTGCGAGAGAGGCAGGTTGAGGTGGTTAGAGTCAGAGTAGTGCAGAAGGTGTAGTATGCTGAGGCAGTGAAGAAAGTAGAGGAGGATGGGTTAAGGGTGAGGGATCCTGAGAGGACCCCTGTGAGTAGTAGATCTGTGCCAACACAGAGGGATATGCCAACAAGTGATATATGCTTCAGTAAGGTTGGCTTCTTAGCGTTCATAGCAATGGTTATGAACAGTACCGCAGAAATGGAACGTAAATCACAGAAAATAGATGTTGTGGTTGCAGCTGCAGAGAAGTATTTGGGTATTCAAGATTTGACTTCAGAAGAGTTACAGGGTGTATTGAGTGGTGGTGTCCCGTCCTCCCAGGCCGTTGGCATGTTGCAGGAGTAGATAGGGTAAAAGTAGTGGAATGGGGTAGTGGGTTTTTATTGAGTGTAGGGTTAGTTAGGTGTAGGGCACAGGAGGTTGGTGGCACCTTAATTGGGGAGGACGGGCTCGTGGTAATGGCTGGAGCGGAATCAGTGGAATGGTATCAAATACATCAAACATGGTTTGATGCCATTCCATTTGCTCATTACAGCCATTATTATGAGCCGTCCTCCCCTCAGCAGCCTCCACTAGCATAGGTTTAGTTTTCATTTTGTATCACAAAGTATAATGGATTTATATTATAGTCCAGTTGGGGGCGGTAATGTAACATATTGGATGCCAACCCCCGATAAACTCCAAAGAAGAAGAAGAAGAAGAAGAAGAAGACGACGTAGCATTGGTAAGATATTATGCCGCGTTCAAAACAACTAGGAACTCGGAAAAATACGAAGTCAAATCATGACGTCAGTGATCTTTAGTTCGGAAAGTCGGAGCTATAGAAAGAGGCCCGAGTTCCCGATTTGGATGACCGTTCAAATCGATTTTTCCCATTTTTTTTTTATCGAGTTCCCAGTTGTCTTCAACGCACTGAAGTCGGAAGTCGAAGTTTTCCGATTTCCCAGTTCCTTTTAACGCGGCATTAGCCCTGTTTTTTAAACAAGTTTAGACATGGCATAAAAGCACTGCGCATCGAGCACGGCTAGAGGCGATACTTAACATATTTTCAATTGGAGTTTGGTAAGGCATTTTCAGTTTTTAGCAGCGGTTAAGTAACTGCTAGCTAGCTAGCTAGCTAGCATCTTTAGCTAACACCTGTGAGCTTCCGGAGCTAACGTAACTTGCTAGCTAGCTATCAAGCCGCTCATCAAAGTATGTGTTTCTAGCTAGCTAGATAACTAACCTAAACTGACATATTGTTGTTAGCTAGATAACTGTTATTTGCATAGGTTGTCCAGTATCCTGCAGAACCTTCAGTTTATATGCAGAACCCTTAGCTGGCTAGTAGTCTGTTTGACATCCTATACTTAACTCTTATAACACAGATGAATACTTCAACCTTGTAAAGGGATAATTATTTATGCTATTGCCTTCATATAGCAAACTCTCCTGTCCTCCACAGTCAAGATGCCAGTCCTTTGTAGCAGCTGTGCTGAGAAGCGTGCAGTGCTGAAACGTCCAAAGACAGCCCATTCCCTGTGCAAAGAGTGCTTCTTCTGGGCCTTTGAGGAGGAGGTGCATCAGACAATAATGTCAGCGCAGCTCTTCAAAGATGGAGAGACTGTGGGCATTGGTGCCTCGGGCGGGAAGGACTCCACTGTGCTGGCACACCTCATGAAGGTCCTAAATGAGCGCTATAACTACGGCCTGAAACTACTGCTGCTGTCTGTGGACGAGGGCATCACAGGTTACCGTGACGACTCCTTGGAGACTGTGAAGAGGAACCAGCAGCAGTATGAGCTACCTCTGAAGATTGTGTCCTATGAGGAGCTGTATGGCTGGACCATGGATGCCATAGTGAAGCAAATCGGACTGAAGAACAATTGCACTTTCTGTGGAGTGTTCCGAAGGCAGGCACTGGACAGGGGAGCCATGATGCTGAAGGTTGATAAGATATGTACAGGTAATATAAGACAAATATATTTGTTATTGAGCAGGCTTATTTTATCTATCTTATTTCAGATGAGGCGTAGCCTAGTTTAAACAGTCCCTCCAGGATTTTGCGATTCTGTGATCACAACCCTTTTAGCAAAATCAACATTTTCCTGCATATAATGCGAGGGCATGCAAATTTGACCAATCAATGCAACTTGCCATGCAAAATGTAATTATTGCCACAGCAAAATCAAGCATTTTGGCATGCAACTATCACAAAAAAACTGCGAAATCCTGGAGGGACTGATTTTAAAGGACTGTTTGTGTTTCTGACTGTTCTCAGGTCACAACGCTGATGACGTGGCAGAGACAGTTCTGATGAATGTCCTCCGAGGAGACATCGCCCGTCTGCGTCGCTGCACTGCCATCAGCACAGCCAGCGAGGGCGAGGGGGTAGTGCCACGCTGCAAGCCCCTCAAATACGCCTACGAGAAGGAGATTGTCCTCTACGCCTACTTCAAGAAGCTGGACTACTTCTCCACAGAGTGCATTTACTCCCCCAACGCCTACCGAGGTCATGCCCGCACCTTCCTGAAAGACCTGGAGGCTGTGCGGCCCAGCGCCATCATGGACGTCATCCACTCTGGGGAGAACCTGTCAGTGAGGGAGGGTGTGAAGATGCCCATTCAGGGGACCTGCGGCCGCTGTGGCTACATCTCCAGCCAGGCGCTGTGTAAATCCTGTGTTCTGCTGGAGGGCCTGAACCGTGGCCTGCCTAGACTAGGAATCGGCAAGCACCACCGCCTCCACGGGAAGATCCTCTCACAGCAGCCTCTGACCCAGGCAGAGGAGAGGAAGCTCAAGGCTGTGGACTTCTGAGAGGCAGAACGTCTCAGGATCACCACTGTTTCTGTGAAGTTACACTTTGAAATGAGTAACCGAAGATGACTAAACCAGATGTGGAGTTGTTTTTAAGTTTCAGCTTGGAATTGAAGGAGAGCCTCTAATGAAAGAGTAGCCAGCGTTTCCCCTTTTCGGCCACTGAACAATGGGGAAGTGATAATGATTGATTAAAAAGGTCCTTGCAGTTGCTGGAATCCAAATAAAATGTACATTCGGCTATGTGGTCAGTGAATTATGGAACCTCTGCCAGCTGATGATTGAAATAAAAGTGTATTTTGTGCGGTATCTGTATAATAAAGCCATTCAACGTTTGCATGGCCTCTTATGATTTAGTCTCTGAAACATTCCTCAAGAGACTTCTTACACGTACTTGTGTTAGGATTACATTTTTCACAAATTGGAAAAAAAAGTCCTAGCTGAAACAATTTTTATATATGAAAATTATTTTCGTTATTGAGGTGGAATTGACCTTAACACTGCCTTGTAACTAAGGTCAAATTAATAGGCTACTATGCCTATTATAAAAGATATAGGTACACTACCGGTCAAAAGTTTTAGAACACCTACTCATTCAAGGGTTTTTCTTTATATGTACTATTTTCTACATTGTAGAATAATAGTGAAGACATCAAAACTATGAAATAACACATATGGACTCATGTAGTAACCAAAAAAGTGTTAAACAAATCAAAATATATTTTATATTTGAGATTCTTCAAATAGCCACCCTTTGCCTTGATGATAGCTTTGCACACTCTTGGCATTCTCTCAACCAGCTTCATGAGGTAGTCACCTGGAATGCATTTCAATTAACAGGTGTGCCTTCTTAAAAGTTAATTTGTGGAATTTCTTTCCTTCTTAATGCGTTTGAGCCAATCAGTTGTGTTGTGACAAGGTAAGGGAGTATACAGAAGATAGACCTATTTGGTAAAATATAATGTCCGTATTATGGCAAGAGCAGCTCAAATAAGCAAAGAGAAACATTTTACATTTTAGTCATTTAGCAGACGCTCTTATCCAGAGCGACTTACAGTTAGTGAATACATTTTTTTTATTATTTTTTTTTATACTGGCCCCCCATGGGAATCGAACCCACAACCCTGGCGTTGCAAACGCCATGCTCTATCAACTGAGCTATATCCCTGCCGGCCATTCCCTCCCCTACCCTGGACGACGCTGGGCCAATTGTGCGCCGCCCATGAGTCTCCCGGTCGCGGCCGGCTGCGACAGAGCCTGGATTCGAACCAGGATCTCTAGTGACACAGTTAGCACTGCGATGCAGTGCCTTAGACCACTGCGCCACTCAGGAGTAACGACAGTACATCATTACTTTAAGACATGAAGGTCAGTCAATACAGAACATTTCAAGAACTTTGAAAGTTTCTTCAAGTGCAGTCTCAAAAACCATCAAGCGCTATAATGAAACTGTCTCTCATGAGGACCGCCACAGGAAAGGAAGACCCAGAGTTACCTCTGCTGCAGAAGATAAGGTCATTAGTTACCAGCCTCAGAAATTGCAGCCCAAATAAATGCTTCACAGAGTTTAAGTAACACATCTCAACATCAGCTGTTCAGAGGAGACTGTGTGAATCATGCCTTCGTGGTCGAATTGCTGCAAAGAAACCACTACTAAACGATACCAATAATAGGAAGAGACTTGCTTGGGCCAAGAAACACGAGCAATGGACATTAGACCGGTGGAAATGTGTCCTTTGGTCTGGAGTCCAAATTTGAGATTTTTGGTTCCAACCGCTATGTCTTTGTGAGACGCGGTGTGGGTGAACGGATGATCTCTGCATGTGTATTTCCCACAGTAAAGCATGGAGGAGGAGGTGTTATGGTGTGGGGATGCTTTGCTGGTGTCTATGATTTATTTAGAATTCAAGGCACACTTAACCAGCATGGCTACCACAGCATTCTGCAGCGATACGCCATCCCATCTGGTTTGGGCTTATTGGGACTATCATTTGTTTTTCAACAGGACAATGACCCAACACACCTCCAGGCTGTGTAGGGCTATTTTACCAAGAAGGAGAGTGATGAAGTGCTGCATCAGATGACCTGGCCTCCACAATTCCCCGACCTCAACCAAATTGAGATGGTTTGGGATGAGTCGGACCGCAGAGTGAAGGAAAAGCAGCCAACAAGTGCTCAGCATATGTGGGAACTCATTCAAGACTGTTGGAAAAGCATTCCAGGTGAAGCTGGTTGAGAGAATGCCAAGAGTGTGCAAAGCTGTCATCAAGGCAAAGGGTGGCTATTTGAAGAATCTCAAATATAAAATATATTTTGATTTGTTTAACACTTTTTTGGTTACTACATGATTCCATATGTGTTATTTCATAGTTTTGATGTCTTCACTATTATTCTACAATGTAGTAAATAGTAAAAATAAAGAAAAATCCTTGAATGAGTAGGTGTTCTAAAACTTTTGACCGGTAGTGTAGGTGTATCTGCTGTAAATTATGTCTTGTGTAAAAATGTTTCTTCATCAGTCACGGTTACAATGTTTTCATAAACAATGTTTATTTGAGGCAGCCTGTCTGTCCACTGACGTATAATAAGTACGAGCCTGTGATATACAGTAGTAGGCTACTTTGTATAAATGTAGTTTCACTCGCTAGAGGCCGCGCTTTATCACGTTATTTAAATTGCCCGGGGTTCTCGTTCATGTCGGCGTATATAAATGCGCGTGCTCGTGAAGAACACGCGCACATCGCTGCGTGGTCGTGTACGGTACTTCCCAACCAACTTCAGCACAGTGAGTAGTAAACTAATTGAGATTTTGAGAGGAAACCACGGAAATCGAAAAACGATTACAGGAAAACATTTTCACTGGTCAAGCCAATTCTGGAAGTATGGACGATTTAGGTAAGTTTCAAGCCGTGTCCTTTTCTAATCTCTGCCTTTTTCTATTTAGCATAGCGGTAAGTATGGGTGGAGAGAAAATAATGTATTTCGAGGCTGCAGAGATTTCAAGGTCTTGGGATAATAGACGGCGTGGGATTTTAAAAAAAAGTTTAAACTACGTACAAAGGCTTAGAATTAAACACGGTTTATCCACTTTTCATGTCGGATTTCCATCCTTCGAACTGAATAGTGACAAGTCAACTCGTTTGCATAAATTCTTTTTCTTAAGCTAACACTTTGGCAAAAGTCCGTCTGATGGTGTCAACATTGTTTGTATAAAAACGAGGTTCCACCCATATTGATTGGCTTTACCATCGTAGGCCGAAAAGCTATGGGCGTTTTTTTTACTACAACACTGTCTCATTGCAGTTGGTACAGATGCTTGAAGTTTTTTATTTATTTTGTAGGCAAGTCAGTTACGAAAAAATTCTTATTTACAATGACGGCCTACACCGGCCAAACCCGGACGAATTGTGCGCCGCTCTATGGGACTCCCAATCACGGCCAGTTGTGATACAGCCTGGAATCGAACCAAGGGGTCTGTAGTGACGCCTCAAGCGCTGAGATGCAGTGCCTTAGACCGCTGCGCCACTCGAGAAGTTGTCCAATGTAACGCGGTGCAAGCTAGTAACGTCATAGCCTTGTAGGTTCAGCGTTAGTCATGGTACAGTTATCCAAACGTTCTAAATGGCGACACCATCTCAATATGGGAAATGTCATAAATAAAGTGTATGTCTGCCCCTTTGAATTTTAATCAAGCCCATTGTCACTTATTGTATGGAAAATATGGTTGTGCCTTCTCAGGCATCCTGCTCAAATTAGCAAAGACTCACTATCTTTTCATGGCAACCTTCATGGCATATGAGTAAAACTAAATAGTTACTTATTATATAATGCTTGGGTCCATACTTAGATTTGGTTGTCTCTGACTTTCTATTTATAGTGGTAGTCCTTCTGTGCTGATAGTAGGCCTAGTGTCTCCTCTGTTTTATATATGGGTCTCATGACCGCTGTCCAAAGCCTACCCAGCTAACAATTCTAGGGAGAGAGAACATTTTTGTAATGTTCCCATAATGTTTGTGTGTCCAGTTTTCCATTAGTTAGGTGAACATTCTATCTATGTTAGCAAACACCTTCTGAGAACCTTTTTAGTATATTTCCGTGTTAAAGTTAGGTGAAAATTCCCTTAATGTAAAACGGAACTTATCTAGAATGTGGTTACAATGTTCTCATTAATGTAGTTTTCTGACGGTTAGGAGAATATTCCATCAACATTCCACCAAACATACATAGAACATGGCCATGTTCTCAGAATACAAGATACTAATGTACTAGACACGTTTGATAGGAACGTTGTGTATCAATCGTCAGGACGCCGCCTGATGTTCCCGTTCTTCTTCAAAAAAATTACACATCACCCCTTGTTACTGTGGCCAAGCCCATCAAGGCTCTGATTGGTGAACCACTGATCCATTCACAGCTTTGTTTGTTAGCAAGGTTTGGGGGACACAGGCACAATGCTGTTAACATAGTGTTTTTTTGACATACATATTGGACACACTTTGACATGCATGATTACATTGTGCATGTTCATTTATACAGTAATTATTATTCAACATGTCCTCCCCTGGGATTTGAACTCACAACCTCTTGATTCAAGGCATTCTGATCTTCCTGCTACGCCACCATGTCTGTCATTTATCCTGTGGGGAACCATGAGGGCCTTCTAAAAATTTGTGTATACTACCGGTCAAAAGTTTTAGAACACCTACTCATTCAAGGGTTTTTCTTTATTTGTACTATTTTCTACATTGTAGAATAATAGTGAAGACATCAAAACTATGAAATAACACATATGGACAGTCTTGAAGGAGTTCCCACAAATGCTGAGCACTTGTTGGCTGCTTTTCCTTCACTCTGCGTCCGACTCATCCCAAACCATCTCAATTTGGTTGAGGTCGGGGAATTGTGGAGGCCAGGTCATCTGATGCAGCACTCCATCACTCTCCTTGGTAAAATAGCCCTTACACAGCCTGGAGGTGTGTTGGGTCATTGTCCTGTTG